GTTGTTGTTGTTGCTGTTGTTGTTGTTGTTATTGTTGTTGTTGGAGATGGTTGTGGTGATGACGGTGGTGGTGATGGTTATTATGATCGTTGTGGTCAGGTCGACCTTGTGTCCTTCGGAAAATCACTTTACACGAATGTTCCAATTTAGCTCTGTCCTATCGGCACAGTTATGAGCACGACATTGTTAGATCAGCCCATTTACAATTCAACTGTGCACTAGAACGAGAAATGTACCCCCTTTGGGAATGGCCTAAAGACACTTCAGTCAGTGGCACCGCCCCGGGGGGTCTGCTGTTTTGAGAAAATCGAAGGTATAGTTTTTTAAAATCCTTGTTCAGTTTCTTTAAAAGACAAGGAGAGGTTTTTCTATAAGCAAAGAAATATACACACCAATGAAACCAAACTGCTACTATAGGAAGGGAAATGCCCACTTTTGGTGTAGGTCAAGATTTCTGGAATCCCCCGGAATCTGGGTTAGCCCGCTTGTCCTTAAAAGCGACCATTTGACAAAAAGTTTCGCTATAAATGTTTGCCCGCACCATAGATATTTGATGAAAACAGTTTCCCGAGACTGGGGTAGAAAGAGCCAGTAGTGCGGGCAACTGGCGAGATCCTAGACACAGCAGCACTCACGTCGGGCGGGTTATTTAGCTGCTCACGATAAGAAAATTGAAACGTCAAGGCGCATCACTCCGTCTTGATATTTTATCGCTCCGGAAAATTCCCGAATTTCGTTTCTCCCTCCCCCCTCCCCCCTCTCTCTCTTTCTCTCTCTCTGTATCTCTCTCTCTCTCTCTCTCTGTATCTCTCTCTGTCTCTCTCTCTCTTCCCCCTCCTCTCTCTACCTCCCCCTCTCCGCCCTCTCTCCCTCTCACCCCCCTCTCTCTCTCTCCCCCTCTCTCTCTCTCTTCCTCCCTTTCGGAGACAGTCCCATTGAGATAGAGTTTTTTCTCAAGACGCAGACAAAAACAAAAGCTATCATCTCCCCTTTCCTGTCTGGTCTGAGGTAATGTAACAACACACTTGCTGCACCTAAGGTGCTTTGAGCCGATCGACCGCTTGGCTTCATTCGTTTTTTGTTTTTTTACTAGAAGTTTTACGGCGCTCGCAACTGCATACCGTCATAAGAGCGCCAAGGGGTGGATGTCAACAGAGAAGTCCTTACAGGGAAAATCAGACGTACTCTGTTCGTTCACCTCTCTAGCTTCAACAGCACAAAGCCTGCTTCGACTGTCAAGGCACTCCGGAAATAGTGGGTCACAAGAGTGTGACAAACATACAAAAGAAGTAGACGAACAATGAAGATAGTAAGGATGAGGAAAGAAAAAGCAGCTGTTCCCTGTTGCAGTTCAGGCACAGTAACATGAAATTGATGAATCAGCCCAATTACAATTCTACTGTGCATAAAAACATATTTATGTCTCCCCTTGGGAATGGCCAAAAGACACTTCAGTCAGTAGCACCGGGAGGGGGGGGGGTCTTTATTCGCAAGTATAAACAAGATACAAAGCATTATAAACGACCCGTCACACCACCTTTCCACGCAAAATGTCACATCACGCAGAGGCAGATATGTACCTCTAAAAACAAAGAAAGAAAGATATAAAAGAAGTTGTTTACCATCTAGCATAAGGCTATAGTCAGAATAAGCATCAATGTGCATTGCTCTTTCAAGTATGTATCTATATAACTGTAAAGATCATGTACATAAATCCCTGCACGTGGTTAAATGATGCATCTGATGTGATAGGTACATTTTGCCGCCTTTTTTTTTTCCTTTTCAGATTGAATTCTAATGAGAGTAATATATAATTCAAATCTTTATGTATACCTGCATGTGTTTTTACGGTCCTGTACAGCCGAGAAACATTTCCCTCTGGGACAATAAAGTACTATCTTGTCTTATCTGATGTGATCTGATCTGATCTGATCTGATCTCGTCTCGTCTCGTCTCGTCTTGTCTCGTCTCGTCTTGTCTTGTCTTATCTCATCTTGTCTTATCTCATCTTATCTTATTCACAAACTGTTTCCTTTCAAGGCCCACGGGTGGCCAAATCCAGCAGCCCGTGCCGAGCGCTCCATCTAATTGTCTAACCTGCAGGCCACCGGAACTGACGTCATTATGTCTATATTTAGCTTATTATTGGTATCGATTATCTCCAGGAGGGAACAGGAAGGCCTCCTCCCCCCCTCCCCCCTCCCCTCCC